GTTTTCTAAAAAGTTCAGGTCCCCCAAAGAAATTCAATTCATTTAATTGATAATTTATAATATTTTGATCATTTTCATTTTAATTTATCAAGGGTATTCAATATCCAATATCAATTTGAATTTGATTCAAATCCGACCTAAATCTTGTGGATAATATTTCATTTAAATCCAAATACTAATGAATCAATTTTGAATCTAAGGGCCTGTTAGTTTGATGGTTGAGGATGATCAACAGGAAATTGATCAATTTCTGAAGTGTAGGGCCCATAGAAAATGAACTTTCCTTCCAATAAATTTTTGGGCCACTTTCATAGGTTCATAGGTAAGATTTACTCTTTTATTTGAATAACTCACTTAATTATAGAAGAGAAAAATTGTTCAAATTGTGTGGGCCCTTATCAGTACACAGAACTTTACCTTTTAGGTTCAGTTTGGAAGGAGTACAAATATAGCTATATAGAGTATAAAACCTTATATTTTGTATCCATTTGCATTGTACATATTTGTATTTGTACTTTTTCCAAACTGAGCCTTTAGAAAATTGCTTTCCTCACTTACCAATTAATAATGCGTAGGTATAATTAGGTTTCCTATCCTTTTGATGCTCTATTTTAGTGATGAGGGAAGTTAGCCATCTCATAAAATTTATATTTCCTTTTTCGTGCCCACTACTTTTTGATATTAGAGAGGGCTGAACTGAACTACTCCCTTCAGCTATTAGATGTTGCAAAGGTGTAACTTGTATTGAAAACCAAAAGTTGACTAATATGTGAGACCAGAATTTATCGACTTTTAATCTAATGGCCAAGGGAAGTTCTTATCAATACAAGACCGAGGGTAACGGGTGAACCTGTTGATGGGTTGGGCTGAGTTTTGCCTCTATATTAATCATTATTTTAAAAGGCTTAACATGGGACCTTGAAGCGAGGCACACAAAGGATTAACTTAAGCCTTTGTTAGAATTAGGCACAAGCCTTAAGAACTAAGACATAGCTTAAGGCATAAAAAGCATAAGGCTCAAGTATAATGATTATTAGCTATCTAATGCAAAAAAGATAGTTTTTATGTATAGTTCAAAATATATGAAAGAAACACTTTAATACTTATGAGTCCAATAAACAAGGAGTAAAAATGAAAAACCAATTGTAGAAATCAAGTTCTATTAATTTCTATTAGGGTTTGTTCAATGCAAAAAGGGTTAATCGAGTTCTTAGATTCTCTTAGATATATTAAATGATTTTTCTTATCATTCTAAACCAAACATTTCAAGTTTGCTAGTTTTCATTTCTTTTTTCTAATGGATTTATTTTCTTTTTATTGATTTTTTTCATAGATCAAATAAACTAAATTATTTTCTTTCTTCTAAACTATTGAATGACCATAAATATAGTGTCCAATTGTATGGATGATTCTTCATATGTTTCCGTTCTTCCAAATTGTATCCAATTGTATGGATTATTCTAAATCTAACATTCCAAGTTTATTATTTTTCTCATTTCTTTTCCTAATGGATTTATTTTCTTTTTATTGATTTTTAATAGATCAAATAGACTAAATTATTTTCTTTCTTCTAAACTATTGAATGACCATAAATATAATATCCAATTGTATGGATGATTCTTCATATGTTTTCGTTCTTCTAAATTGGTCATTTGAATTATTTGAGAATTTTGCATTTTGAAACATAAAATGTAAAATATAGGGAGGGCAATGGGGTGAGTTCAGAGAGGATTTTGTAAATTCTAGACCCTACCCGTCTCCCTAAACCTCCTAAACCGTGCCTGCCTCAAAACCTGTAGCGGGTTGGATTTTGAGAATCCAAACCCTCCCCGCACATGAAAATACAAAACCCCACCCAACCTCGCATCTAATTTCTTGTTATATTTAAGCAATAAATAAGTAAAATAATATAAATAAACAACAAAGTTTTCAATTATTCAATTAAGACACATAAAAGCACATAAACTATCAATTGCCCTTCACATAATATTCAAAATATTATTAAGTTCAACATCTAATACATAAAATTCATATGCTTTTCAACAATATGCAAATCAGGGAGGGTTGGGTTTTGCCTAATACCATACCGTACTCGTACCCGTATAGATTGTAGAATCCCAAACCCGTCCCCACCCCAAAATCCATCATTCAAGCAAAAAAAACCGCCTCGACGGGGTGTTTAGGAACAGGTATCATCGGGTAGGGTAGAAATTGCCATCCCTGGTAAAATGTTTATAATTGTTAGCTGGTTTTTTATTATTTTTTAATGCTTAACTGCTGAAATTTATTGCTTATAAAATTTTATATTTTTTGGATATTCCTACCTTCTATCATTCCAATTCGCTATATTATATGTTATCTTTATCATTTTATGAACTTTAATTAATTTTGTGCTTAAGCTTTGAAGTTTATGCCTCACCTTTTAGACCATTATGCCTCAACTACACATTTAGCATTTTAAAATCTTGATATTAGTAGAACACATTCAGGCCTGAGCCCAAAGCTTGCCTGACCATTGGACTTAGATCTTGACTCTTGAGCCTGAGCCCGACCTTCATATAGACCCTAAAATCCGACCTAGAAATTTGGCAAGAAGATTTATTTACTTAACAATGAAACTGATTTATTTACATTGAACATCCTCAGAACCCAGAAATATTAAAAGATCTCACTATGGCTTGAGAAAAGAGAAGATGAACAAAAAAAAAATATGTTATATACAAAATATTCTCGAATCGGCTTTTTTAAAAAGCTTGGACTGAAAAAAGTCGGGCCTAGTGTTTTGGGGCCTGAGCTCAACCCCATAGGCCTAAAATCTTGTCCAAACTCGACAAAAAATGGACTGACCTGTCACACTACCCGACCCATGAAAAGATCTAGTAATGGGGCCCTCCCATGTGGAGATCCTCATTTTCTATCATAGCAGAGATGGGAAACAGTAAAACAGGTTTGGAAAGGGGACTGTTATATCAATCTCCCAGTAAACAAATAAGATATCAGCCGGTGACATCAAGCACAAGCAGGCAAGGGCACCAACACGCAAGTGATCACATCTGCTAGCTGCGATCACCGTAGCAAATTTTTCTTGTGATTGCCAATGAAATATGGATCCCCTCCCATGTTTAAATGAAAATAAAACTACCCGAAAGAAAACAAGGAATCTTGCAGCTTTCCAGCAACTGATCATGGAATTGGGTTTACCTTGCTCGTTAGGTAGGTAGCACTAATCAATGCACTGCCTCTGCATCATCACCAATTCACCATCTCGTAATTTTTTTGTTGTTCCTATTCTTTTTCTTTGGTGTAAACTATCAAACAGTATAGATGCATTAAAGATTTCAGCGGCAGGTGTAAAGTAAACCCAATACAGAAATGGTTAATTAGGAGGTAGAATGGGCGAAGCAAACAGCAAACACGTCGTCATACATGTAGCTGAGGTCCCCCTATCAGATGGGTAGTCTCTCCACAATCCCTATGCTATCGCTATCCCATGAAACCCACAGTAAACAAAGGCTGCACCGCCTAAACAAGGGTCCCCCACTCTATCTACCAATTAAGTAGTTACAGTGTAGCTTTCTTTCTTCTTCTTCTTCTTTCTCAAATTAAATCCTGATTTCACGTCAGACTGTATGCCATCTATATCAATAAAATAAATTTGTTATTTTCATAGGCATGCGCCAAAAGGTCCTGTGGATGAAAATGATGAAAGTGGTCACAATACTCTTTGGACCAGGTTATTATGCTTCCAAACACTTGCGTGAGGAGAGATGGAGAATAACCCTTGCGCTAAAACACTATATATATACATATCCTTGATGGCATTCTCTTATGTATCAATCACTGGAGATCATTGATATAAAATTGGAAAGTGACACTGAAATCCTTGCTCCTTTGGTCGGTGGCTTATTCTTACAAGAAAAGTCATGCATATTCTTGGTAGTATGAGATTTGTATATGTACTGATACTGATTTCCTTGCTTTTAATTGCCGATATTGATGCCAAAAACGATGTAGCACTCCATCTTCTCGTCTGGCCTTAGATGTTTCATCTACAAGGATTATATCAAATTATCAATATTACTGATTTTGCAATATTGATTAGTTTTGTTTTATTTTTATGTTCTGGAATGTGGATTTTGAGAAGGTAAAGTTGAGATCGAGTTTTTATATTGTGCTTGTGTCAAGGTGGGCTATGTCCTCCTCCAACATGTCTTTTAATAGCATTAAATTATGTTGTCATTGCATTTTAGGTTCATCAATACAAATCAAGCTTTTAAATATAGACTTAAAATCAGAACCATTTTAATCATTGGTTTTTTGGGTTGACAGTTCGATCGTTTCTTTGAATAAATAACCATTTTTAATTTAATATAAAAAATAATAATTAAAATAAAAATGACCAAAAACTATTGAACAAGCCAAAATTCAAACAAAAACTAGGTTAAGCGATTCCTGAGGCAAAAGGTCCAACCGTCTAAATTGCATGTATAACAACAAATTTGGCATTTGTATTAAATAAATTAAAAAAAAAAAAGTTTTCAAAACATCTCCACCATTTTACTACCAACCCCCACCCCTCCAAAAATGGATTTGGTGCTTGTCAGTTATCATACTCAACCAACCCAACAATAAAATGCTGGGTTTGGTTGGACCGTGGGATTGAAACTGGCCAATCCAAAGGGTCTACTGTGGCGCGACGGCTAAGTTTGGCTGCATCTTCCTCCACAGAAGAAATAAACCACTTTTTGCTCAGCCTTTGATGTATTGGTATGATCCCACCTCGAGTTAATGAAGTGAAGTCTTGGTAGGATTATGGCAATAAATCTAAGGCCATGATTTTTTCCGGTTACAGCCATGCACTATGAAACTGTCGTACCAGAACTCACATGTAGAGAGAACGAACCAGGTCCCAACTCAACTGGTAGTTGCTTGGTTGGCTTTGCCACGGTTTTTTTTGGGGGATATAATTAATATTTAATTAAGATAAAATTTAGAAAATTTTCAGTGTGTCAGATCCCGGCGAGGGAGTTTGTCGACATAATTGTCGTTGACTGGGCAGCCCAGAAAGCGACACAAGATGAAGGTGCAAACAAAACTCCGAGAGACATGACTTGCGAGATAGCGAGGAGTGAGAGAGGAAGATCGTAAGCGAGAGAGCCTATAAATTGAGGGGAGGATCCATTGAAGGCGACCTGATAACCCATGTGAATCGGAGCTGTCTAAAAGATGTAAGTTGCGTACACTATTTACTAGGGTTCTCTGTAGCTCTTCCGCGTGAAGGTTGATGATTAATGGCTATCTGAACTTCTGAACGTCTTTGTAGGTATACCTTCTACCTCCTTCTTAATGATTTTCTGGGGTTTCTATTTTGTGTTGAGGTTATATTCTTTCAACTGATTTCGGTTTTCCTTCTTGTATTTAGTTCGAATTTTGATAATTGTGGTTGTTTGCCATGGATTTAAGGCCATTTACCGAGTTCCGTACGTGAATAAGAAAGTGGGAATTGGATATCACTGGTTTTGGACTTTAGTTCAAAGGAAAGGAATTATTGTTCATGAGTTTGGGCGATTTGCAGGTTTCTGATAGAAAATATAGGATTTTGGTTCTTGACGTTTGCGTTCAATGCTGTTAACACTAGCTTCGGACTTGGTTCTTTTTGTTACTCTTTACTCGCCTATTCTTTGTTTGGATTTGCTATTTTAATTACTCTGGAATTTCATTTTGATTTGTTGGATCAGTTCTTATTTCTTTCCTTTTTTCCCGGAGTAGGGAATGTCAGATGATATACTTTATAAGTTCATTTGCTGAATAGGTTCATAATTTGTAGCGGCTCTAATATTGGGTTTTGTTCTTCATCTTGGCTCGAAAAGAGCGGTTTCACCATGTCCATTAACATTTCTTTGCCTTCCTTAAAAAATAAAAACCTTGGCCAGCAAACGATGGCCTTGGATGGAAAGTCCTATGTTGCCTCCTATATTTGCTTTATCATTAACTAAATTTGGTTTTTCTTTCTCTTGTTTTTTTTTCTTGTTTTTTCTTCCTGGAACAAAAAAACTGGATTTTGTCTGTTGAATCGTTTAGGGGGCTTCTGACTTTTTTGTTATGTAAATGGGCGGTGAATATGTCGTTAGGTGATTTGTATATATTTTTTTTCCGATTTGGAATTTATTTTTGCAATTGCTTACTTGCTCATATTTTTTTTCCTTTGTGACTTCAAATCCTTTGGCTGTTGTCAAAGCCTTGCTGGGTTAACATTTCAGAATTTCTGCATTGTTCTTTTTTTTCCTTCTGAGAAATCTGATTTTCCTTCCTAGTCTGATACTTGCTTCTGGGTCTGGTTGTTTGACTATTTCCTAATTTTAAACTTCTTTGTTATGTTCTTCTCATATACTCTGGCAAGTCATGAGTCTATTCATGCTTACCTAATTTTCTCGTGAGTTTACAGCTGTTCCCAAGTTTTATTCATGTATCATTGCAGTTGTTAGAGGTGGAAATAAAAAAAAGGTTTCTTTATCCTTTCTTCTCCTTTCCTTGACAACAACTGCATTATCTCCAACTTCTTAAACTTCTTAGATTTAGATACTATTACTGCCATATTTGAACTACAAATTACATAAGCAAACTTATAATTCATTTAATAGTAGCCTATATGCAGTGCTTGCAAAATTAGAGTTTCTTTGCGCTGGACAGGTCTTTTCAGACCCTTGTGAGATTCAGAGCACATCATGGTTCAGACACTTGAAGCTATCAAGGGTGGGGGAGGCTCTGTTAGGATAGGAGCCACTGGAACAATCAGTTCTCTGATGACCAGGGAACTGGACTCAATAAAACGAACACAGACGCTAATGCCTTCTAGAAGAAATCCTTCTATGGTCCCTGTTTCAGTTCCCTGTGGTGTTGCTACTCCAAAAAAACTGCAGCCAAGAAGAAATTCAACAAGTGAAGCAAGCACTAGTTGCAGCAGCGGCAGCAGCAGTAGCAACAAAACCAACTATAGGAGCACTGGAAATACGCAGAAAACAAGGCACAATGTCGGAAAAAATGTACATCGCATTCCCATGCTTAGCTCTGATGACATCACTGTAGATAGAACTCCTAACAGAGGAAAACCTGATAAAAAGGCACCTTACATTGTTGAAGTTGTGGATATAAAATGTGGGAATCCTGACAAAGCTTGGTCGACTCCTATAACCAATCGTCTGAAGAAGCTCAACTTCTCCAAGCTCTCCGAGACCATTGCCTAAAACTGCAACCTCAGATCAGTTTTCAGGTTTCTGTAACTGAATCCAGGAATTCCATTTGGCAGCTGGTTGGTATCTGTAACTTCCACCACAGAGCAGATGTTTAGTAGAAATGTACTACCTCGACTCTTCTTCTTCCTTGAAGTCATGGTTAGAAAGCTGAATTTTGGTCTGGAATTACCACTGGTGGAGCCCATATCTGTAATCTGAGCATGAGGTTTCTTGGAGCTTCGACAGGGATCCGACCGAAGTCTGCTGAAGTACTCAATTTCCTGCAATACTAGGGATCCAACAGTGCCTCGGGTGCCTACCTCCACTGGAGCTGTAATTGCCATGCTTAGTCGGGGATGGGTGGCTGTGGTGCAGGCTTTATAAATCGTGCTTGTTCTGGTAGGATTGATGTGGGAGAGCTTGTGCTTGTGAATGAAGGGTTTCTGGGTTATGTCTGGGGACTCTTGGTGGGGGAATTCCGTTTGAGTTTGGGGCATTTACAGCAGGTTGGCCTTTACAGCTTAACCTCGTGACAAGCTTTATCAACATTCCAAAGCGCGGACAGCATGAGATATTGCAGCTTTGGAGGATTTGGTTTTGATATGTGGTCATCATATTCTTGTGGTTGCTATCAAGACGTTGGGATTCCAAAAACAAACTTTTTACCCTCTCTCCATCAAGACATTTGAGTTCCAAAACCAACTTTTTACGCTGTTACAAATTTAATTTTCCTGCTCTCCTCATGTGGCTTGTAGTTGTAGACAATTAATTCTTAGTGTGATCATAATCTAATTAGTATTGGATGGTATGCAATTTGGCATGTAATACACTAGAGTTGGCATGGGATCTCTTAAACTTTGATCTAAACACCCTATCATAATCATAATGGGAAGGTGACTGCAAACTTAGCGCGAAGGATGAATTTGTTTAATCCCTCTCAATGTCACTGTCACTGATAAAGCTTTCCTTTCCTTTCCTTTCCTTTTCTTTACTCTTTGTGCAAAGGAATTAGTTGAGGAGTGGAGAGCTTGAGTGCTTTTCTTATATTTTAGGTGCGGGAGTTCATTGATGATTGATTGCTTTTGCTTTTCTGCCTTTTAAGTGGGGATCAGTTGATATATTTATTTTTATCTAGACATCGTGTCGTTGCGATTGGGTAAAAAATGTTCAATAAGCACGCAAGCGCATTGATTGCCAACTTGCCATGCCATTGTTGAAAGTTGTTTCCACAGTTTGGGAAGGAGTACAAATACAAATACATACAAAATAATATAAAATATAAGGTTTTATATTCTACAAATTTGTATTTATATTCCTTCCAAACTAAGCTAAGTTACGGTAACATTTTTATAGGAATTCGGATTAGCCGAACAGCTAGCTTTAGCTGCTCAGTGGACTGTGGAACTAATGATAAGGTTTCACCAAAACAATAAATTCATGAGCCTACTGTAAAAAATACAGATCCCATGTATTTAAATAAATACTGGTGTAGAACCTTATCATTGGTTCCACAGCCCACTGAACAGCTAAACGTTCAGTTATGCTCTTTTGTAATACTAATACCAACAAAAAAACACACTATAGCTTATAAAAGTACTAGAATTGCTCTGTTTTTATTATTATTCAAATAACCCAAAGTACACATACTCTAGTATGTGTTTCTATACCATAGAATTGCTCTGTTTTTATTAATTGATCAAATACAAAAGATACGTGCAATTAATTGGGATTGTGGCAACAAAACCCAATTTGAGGCGCGTTAAGTTGATTATGTTTGCGTGATTGATTTGGGTTTCTGATTGTAATTCTTCTTAGACTCTATCTTTCATTCTGATTGTAATTCTGAGCAGTTTCAAGTGAATGAATTGTGTTTGTTTGGCACACTGCCAATACCCCTTTATTTTCAAATAATGATAATAATAACAATAAAGGAGAGTTGAGTTGATTATGTTTATATTTACGTAGAACCCTGGTACATACAAGATTCAAAGTGCTGACATGTAGGGGTGGATTCGAGCTGAACTGAGTTGAATAGTACAAGACTCGAGTTAGAATCTTGAGTTCGAGCTCGGCTCGAGTCAAAAACTCGTAAGCTCAAACTCAGCTTGGCTCGAACTCGATTTGAGAAAAAATGTTTTATAAAAATAAAAAAATTATATAAAAATATTTTTTATTTGATATTTAAAAAATTAAGAATTATACTAATTAGTTAATGTTATATATAAAAATACAATATTATATATATTATTTTCTATTATGTATGTATGTATGTATATAGCTATTCGAGCTTGAATCACAAGCCTCACAAGCCGGCTCGATTGACCGAGCCGAGCTGAACTTTTCACAAGTTGAGCTTGAATAGCTCATGAAGAGCTTGGCTCATGGCCACCCCTACTGATATGATATGATATGGCTGATACAGATTGATGACCAATATAGTTGATATATATATATATATATATATATATATATATATATATATACACACCATTTTATATTAAACTTATATGTACTTAAAAGTAGAAGGTGCCAACTGACTTAGTTGGTAATGGTTGGCCTGTTGTAGTGGAGAGTTATATAGGAATTGGGATCAAATCCTACCTTCACCACAGTTGGTGATATGAGGGTTTATTGATAATGATAATGGCTTCAGATTCATTTGTAGCTTGGGTCAAGGTTCAAAGTATCGATATGTATTGGGCTGTATCGGCCAATACGTATCATATTGGGGGTTTTCCAATATACCCTTATAGGGGGGGGTTTCGGGGTCTCAATTGATTCAGAGGGTGAACAGACCACCTCAAACCGGCCCCTCTCAACCAGATTAAAAAAAAAACTATCAATACTTCCCAATATGCCACTACCGGTGTATTGGCATATCGCTATTTTGAACCTTGGTTTGCGTTAAGCATTTTATATAAATTCTCTTGTGTTTTGATTCATATAAGTTTAATAATATGTGTAATATATATATATATATAGATTGCAATGTATCATTTCATAAAATTTGTTGAAGCATGTTTTTATACCTTATTTAAGCCAATCAATTAACTGAGCCGTAGGATATACTTGGGTGAGATAAGCTTTCATTTTAACCAACCAAGAAAGCAACAGCACAGAAAAAGCTCAACAAAATAAAGAGTTAAAGATAGAGATACACACAAATCAAAAGAAAACTAGAAAACAAAAAGAACACAAGCTGCAAGAAGATCAAGAAACAGACATTCCACTTCCATCCTTCCTTGGTGGAGAGGCCACACCATTCTTTGCCATCATGTGGGCAGCTATTCTGCAATTTGTTGGCAAAACTAAATCCCAATCAGCATCCTTCCAAAATATAATCTTCATACCTTGTATCAAAAACTAACTAGGCAGAATCATTGTCAAAACTACGTACCTATAGCTACTTGCTTTGACAAGATCAGGACAAGCTCCTCACAGTCACTTCTTTCAATAATAATATTCATCAGTTTGTTTGTTTCTTTGTTTTGTTTTGTTTTCTCAGACATTCATCAGTAGGTTTCCCTCCTATTTAATTTTCATAGGCATCTTAATAATTCTGCTCTATGCTAGTTCTTCCAAGCATATCCTGGTATGTCTTTTAAAAATTTCATTTCTCTCAAAACTGTTTGCATTTTGCAATACTAATCATACTGGTAAACATTACTGTACTAGAGCTCTGCTGGATTGTCAAATTTCTATCCTCCCACTTTCCGCCCAAAACAGAATACAGCCTAACAAGCAAATGCAATAAAAAAAAAAAAAAGGAGAATGACTGTTCAGTCAGAATTCTTAGTCCCACGATACAGGTGGGATGAATCTGACCGTGGATTGATGCCGAATCCACGGGAAGGATACAATTTATAGGAGGCTACTAGTAAGTTATGAGGAGCTGTAATTTCAGAATTCTGAAGTGGATTACAACCTACTTTTCTGTAAAAATAAATGCTACCTTTTTCAACTTTAATTAAAATTAATTTGTTCACGTAAGAATCTCTCTCACCAAGTCCAATTTGATCATTGCTTTTAATCTAGCTAGCATGTGCCCGTGACCTGATCGGCTCATTGACAAGGATGATGCATTCATTTCTCCTGTTTGTCACATCAGCTTTTATAATGCAGATTTGGAAATTAAATGTATTTGGTAGAGGAGATGGGGCTGCCCCATAATGTCCCACAGTATATTCCTGTGGTGTATTAAGAACATCTCCCAATAATATTACCAGAATCAATATTCGGCAGGGATGTGCTGTGGGATGTTGTGGGGCAGCCCCTACTAGGGAGGAGATGTGAACTCTTGGTAGAGTGGATTGATGCAGAAATTGTAGGTATGTATAAAACTTTGTGCAAAAGTGTGAGCCTTGGTTGTCATAATTTGACATTTCTTCAATTGGAAGCGAGGGAGGGGTGCTACCAACTAGCAATACCCCCACATTGACAAAAGAAAAATGAAGAAAGTAGAATACTTTTTCTAACATGTCATATCATTATTATAACAGATTGCTTTAGTAATAATGTGCCATTACATAGCCTGGTCCGTTCTATGAATTGGGATCTGCTACTCATCGGGCACCTCACACTGGCCTCACAGGCATATCTCACCATACATTGAGAACATTTCCTGTGAATTCTAACGTATGTATAAGTATAGGAGATCTTTCTAATGCACGGTGGGATGTGTCTGTGAGGCTGGTGTGAGGCACCCGGTATGAGGAGCAGATCCGGTCTCTTGTTCTATATCAGGCTTAAACAAAGTTTTAATCATGTGGGTTTGGCCTCGGGCTCTAAATATCAAATTCAATTATTTTGGATCTATTTTGGATTTTCTCAAATAAACCTAACTCCCCCCAGTCTGGTCAAATAGTATTATATATAATAAAAATATAATATATATATATATATATATAATATTATTAATAATATGTCAGTAATACATTATAGTAGATCTATTCAGATTAAGCTATAAACTTAGGCCTGGTCATTTTCTATTAATAAAGAGGCAAAACCTAGCCTGGACAAGTCTGTGAACAAGTCTAGGTAGAATGGTCAAATCTTGGGCCAGCAAGTATGAAAATGCAAGTTCGAGCTAGGGTTTATCATAGGCCGAGCTGGGCAGGGCTTGAAATATAAGCCTGGGCCCAAGCCTAACTTCAGGCCTATGTCTTTTAATATATTAAACATTACATAATATAATATTTTATGTTAAATGCCATATATTATCCATATAAATTTATTTGTATATTGTATAATACAAAATATTATATATAATATATATCATAAGTGCCATATCCATATTATAACATTTATATATAATATAATACTATATGTGTGTATGTATGTGTGTATGTATGTATGTATGAAATACATATATTAGGCAAGCCCGGCCCGAAAAATGATCACCTCTAATTTGAGTCTAAAGAAGTAAGAATGGCCATTTTGGGTATGTTTGGAACCGATGCCAATTTCCAAAATCAGTGCCACGTTGGATCCATGTTGGCAATTCCCCCAAATGCTGATTAATTTTTTTGTTTGGTCGTGGCCGATTTTCCTGATTTTTGGAAATCACTGAAAAAACTATTCCTAAACCCTAAGGAGGGATCACCATTTTTTGTGATTCCTGATTTTTTGCCGGTGCTTCATAAATCACCGGATATGCTACTTTATGTGAAGATATGTTGATTCTTTTTTTTTTCTTGTGATATTTTATGCCTGTTTTTTGCAACCATTTTCGAGAAATTTTTGCAATCTCTACTGTTGTATATTTTAGGCCATTTGATATGGATTTATCATTCGGGCTTGTTAGACGTTATCTAAAACATCTAGTGCAATACATTGAATAATAACTCTAATTAAAAAAATAAAATCACCTTTGATAATCACTATCAAAAAAGTTCATAACCAATTTTTGAGAAATA